TACCTCGGCCTTAGCGGCTTCTCCCTCGCCGCAAGAGGATGGTATGACCGGCAATACATGTGATCCTTCCTCCAAGGACCTGCAGGTGAAGACCTGCACGGCCGCCATGGAAACGGTCTATCAGGGAGAGCAAGTTTACTCAATCACTGTCGACAATAACCGGACGTTCCATTCAGAGTTTGCCTCTGGCGGTGCCGTCATCACACCGCACTGGACCGTTCCCCATCTGGCCGTCTTCTTTGTCACTGAGAACGACGATGAGGCTGTTCGCCAGGCTCGCGCGGTAACTTGGGGATTTGTGCAGCGACATGCAATTCCTCATGTGTTCATTTCGAGCAGTGAGCTTTTTGAGGAGCAGCCCACCGAGGACTGGAGCGACAAGATCAACCAACACGGCCCCCATCGATGTGTGGAGTTCTCTGACCGAGATATTACCCCTGTCAGGCTGCCAATTGACCTCAAGTCTTTCAAAGAGATTGATGCTCGTCAGATGAACCGCAACCTTGCCTATCTTACTGGCCTCTACAAGACCGTGGATGAGCGTCAGACAGGAGCATGCTCCGAGCTCTACGCGCAGTCACTGAAGCAGCTCCGCCGTGCTCGCCAGTATGTGGTCTCAAAGTCAGAAGACCTCGACCTCTGGTCAGTTGCGCAGTATTCCGGCATTTCTGTCATCCTCATCACGGCCCTGCTGCTTGGCAACTGGCATCTGTCCGGCTCGTCCGCAACCGTACCGGCAGTTTCGACTTCTGCTGTCCCTACCCCTGTCGTGTCTCCTACTCCAGTGTCCGTATCCACTTCCACCATTACCATCAACCTCACCTCAACAACAACGATCAGAGTTCCGCAGGCAAAGACTTCGCAGGGTAGCACGGCTATTGCACCATTTGCTGAGCTTGCCGACTTCTTCGCTGACAAGTTCCCCGAGTCTCCAAAGAACTATGTCTGTTCAGCAGACAAGCACAGCCGCAACGAGATTCTGGTCAAGATTCCCTCGGGTACCAAGACTTCATGGCTTGCCAAGGATTCCATCAGCATCGATGTTCTCAGGGGCGAAAGATCCGTTAAGACCAAGTTCTCATCCACCGATGAGGGCATCATCATTGAGATCCCAAGGAAGGAAGCATATGGCGTAGTGACCGTCGCCGTCAACACCACACGGAAGCCCAAAGTCAACGAGACCTTCTTCGTTGACTTTGGTAAGTCAGCATTCGAGGAGTGCCTTGGCTTTGGAAAGTCCGTCGCGGCCGGCATTTACAGCGCTGCTCAGCGCGGCGCAGAGCAGGCTGCCACGCTGGCATCCCTGAAGAACTCGGTTGTGGAGGACCTTAGAGAAGTGTCCGCCCGAATCGGCGAGGATGCCTCAAAGACTGCAAACTACCTCAAGGCCTCATGGAACCCTGCATACTTGACTGAGAGCTGGCAGCAAGTTCGGGAGTCTCGCCAAGCGCAGGACACCCTGGACTGGGTAGACATCAAGCACAAACATGCCCAAATCCAGTCATGGCTCCTTTGGCTCAAGATTACTCACCAGACGGACAAGCACAGCACCTATCTCGCCAAAGCCAAGAAGTACATGTCTGACAAGAAGGCTGCAGCTGAGACTGCCAGCAAAGAGCGCTTGGAAAGAGAGAAGTTGGAAATGCGAGCGCGTCGGAAGAGGGAGCGTCTCGAGGCTAGATGCCAATCAGGCTTCTCCCGTTGGACGCAGCAATGCAAACAGCAGATCTAATTGATGGTTATGAGCATGAACATGGGATACCTAGGAACGCCGGCTAAGGACAGGACACGGGACGGAACGGACTGAACCGGAGTTATTGGCATGTTATTACCTCAGGGCCTGGATTATCTTTGCTTTATTCGGCCTGAAATGTTTATTATCACTTTCCGCTCTTACTTCCAAATATCCATCGCCAATGTGCCTGAAGCGCAGGTAGGTAGGCAGGCGGTTGCTGGGATTCATGAGAGGAGTGAGGTCGATAGAGTAGTGTACTAGCAGGCTTCTGCGGAATGGAACAGTTGAAAAAGTTTCGGAATGTCAAGAGGAGTGAAGTTTGTCAAGTTTCCTGTCGTCTCAACTTTGTCCCATGTGTCGATCAGTTGAAAAGCTCTTGTAGAAATCGGTTTCTGCTTGGTTGGTCGCAGAATGGCAGCGCAGGTGTCATGATTTCTGTCTATCCGTGACTGGAACAGGAAAAAGACTCCATAAGAACATTGGAAGGCAGAAATCGTAGTAATTAACAGGCAGATTATTCCTATCAATAGTGCGGATAGGCCCGGCCGACGGTCGAGATAGCGTCCACATTCTCTCGTCGAATTCAAGGAGTCCCCGGTGGCGAAGAAAGCGGGCTTGCTGATTGGACGCGCCGTAGCAGCTTTGGGCTTTGGCTTAGGTAGGACCCCACTAAGTAGGTCAGCACCGGGAAGTACACCCCGCGATGATTTTGCTGGTGGGGTACCTTGAAGCAGCAGGATGACCAGCGCCTGGGCACCTAAACAGCAAGGGCAGGCCCGCCCGACACCCCTCTTGTTGTTGACTTTTGAATGAGGGGCTGTCTTTCCTCATTTTGTCCAACCCACCCAACTTCACCATACCACTGAAGAAACAAATTCATCTTTTTGCTTCCCCCCTTTACCGCTTTGCTTGCTGCAGAACATACCGCTACTAGCCCTGGTAAGTTTGATGCCCTTAGCCCTGATCCCCTGCAGTTTGTATCCCTTGGGCTTGGTGACGAGCCTGCGATGCTCCCGCTCTGAGTCAAGGAGGGGCAGACTGGCGCAGGTGAAGTTTTCATATGCTAATGTTTCCACCCCCGTCTACAGACCCAAACATCGTCACCTCTACCGCACATTATCTCTCCACGAACCGCCAGAATGTCTGCCGCCGAAGCTACCGAGCCCAAGGTCGAGGAGACCAAGACCGAGGAGACCAAGCCCACCGAGGTACGACGCCCCTTTGTCGCACGCGCGCCGATGATCGCTCGTCTCTGCTACAAGAGCTAAAGCTCACCGCCCCCCTTACCCCAACATGCGATGCGCTTGCTTCCAGTCGTTCGCCGTCGACCTGCGATAACACTTGAATACTCCGGATGGCTAACACTCGGTTCGCTTCGCAGACCACTGGTGAGGCTGAGAAGCCCGTTACCTCCTCTTCCGTCTTTTCCATGTTCGGAGGTGGCGTCAAGAAGGAGAAGAAGGAGGATGAGGACCGCGGCGACAACTCCGGCAGCGCCAAGGCTCAGCGCGATGCCGCCGCTGCCGGGAAGGGCGAGGTATACCTGAACCCCACCTATGGCTTTCATTCGCTGCTCGTAACAGCCCCATACTGACCTTTCTTTGTAGGAGGAGGAGGCTCCTGAGTCCGAGGATGTCCACTTCGAGCCCGTCATCAAGCTGACCGAGAAGGTTGAGACTGCCACCAACGAGGAGGCTGAGGAGCAGCTCTTCAAGATGCGCGCCAAGTTATTCAAGTTCGTCAAGGAGACGACTGAGTGGAAGGAGCGTGGTACTGGTGATGTTCGTCTGTTGAAGCACAAGGAGAACGGCAAGACCCGTCTCGTCATGCGCCGTGACAAGACTCTCAAGGTCTGCGCCAACCACTACAGTGCGCTTCGTCAACTACCTTTTCTTTCGATCGCAGCCGCTGACCCTTAGCAGTCGTCCCTGAGATGAAGCTTTCCCCCAACGTCGGCTCTGACCGCAGCTGGGTTTGGAACGCCGCCGCCGATGTCAGCGAGGGTGAGGCCGAGGCCGTCACCCTGGCCATTCGCTTTGCCAACTCTGAGAGTACGTCTATGATTTTCCACCAGGTTTTGATACGGGATGCTGACCGCAAAAAGACGCCAACCTTTTCAAGGACGCCTTCCTCAAGGCCCAGAAGGACAACGAGGAGCTTTTCAACAAGGCTGCCGAGGGCTCTGATGCCCCTGCCCCTGCCGTCGAGGAGTCTTAAAGAGACTTACTGATATCCCCATGATGCCTGCATGAAGACGAGGATGGAGAGTAGGTCTGTTTGGGCCATGAGCCCAAGGGGAGCGAACTGCCCACCACAAAAAGAATCACGATCCTAGCACCATTGTTTTTACACACCGCACGCGATAAGAGGCAGGCAGGATCATGAATAGTTGGAGAGTGCAACAAAACCTGCACCGAGTGGTGTTTGTTTTCAAGCAGTCGAGCGGTGGAAGAATAGCATCAAGGCTTAGGAAGAAGACATTACACAGCACAAATCAACAAAGAATCAAGTCCCTCCCCATTTGATTAGATGCGCTGGCAGTAGATAGACAGGCAAAATCATACCCCCTTCACCCCATTTTTGAGAGAGCTTTGTGCTTGTGAGTGTTGTGATGGTCTGAGCACTTGGGCAAAGCAACCCTCCTGAAGCGGATGACATTGTGCAACATAGAAATCATCTGTGCTACAGCTGCTTTGTCTTTGATGGCATTCAAAAAGGATGTTGTATGCCCGAGCATTCAATTAAAGTCCTTGCTTCCCCGCAACACGGTTCACGGTCACGGTTCACGTTGCGCGGTGAGGATTCCAGCCACACACCCTGGGGGGTGCATGTGTGGCCCGAGCGTCGGCTCTCAGCCTTCCAGTTCCCAAACCTCCAAATCCCAATCTGGTGAACTTCACACACCCAACTCTGCCTCCCGCCGCACGTTCAAACCCCGCTCAAACACCACATACAGCTACAAGTACGATTAGCGCTTCGCCAGTTGCCCATAATGATTGTAGAGGTAAGAACAGCTGTTCTTCTAGCTTTGCCCTGTCGGCGCGTCTTGTCGCGAGTAGGCCCGACAGCATCATGATCAATCCCTATTCACTGCGCGGCACTCGACAGCTTGCGCTCCCTGCCACCCCACGATGTTCCTCCTCCTAGTCCTTCCTTCCTCTACTATAATAGTCCCGTAGTTGATCCTGTACTCTTTCATCGCCAATTCCTTCTCTTCTGTCGCCACAAACTCTGCCTCCATCTGGGCAGCATCACAACCGCTGCCATGGCCCAGAAGAAGCTTAATGGCAGGAAGAAGGCGCCTTCCAAGGCCGCCGAAAGCCCGATTCTCACGACTAACTCGATGACACAGCGAAAAGTCAAGCTCGTTACCGAGCAAAACATCATGTAAGTCGCGCCCGAGAAGCTCCTTCCTTGCCGGTACGAGTTGGAAAGCTAACATCGAGTTTGCCCTACAGCGACAAGCCCTCTCCGGTCGAGGATTTCCCCATGCGAAAATGGAATATCGTTCTGTACGTCATCGGCGAGGACGGCGAGGACCACCCGGCCGACTGCTTCCAGAAGGTCGTCTACAACCTCCACCCTTCGTTCGAGAACCCAACACAGAGTACGTGGCAACCCGACGCGTTTGCGCGTTCCATACATCTCAGCAATCTCGCTGACCCTGCTTTCTTCCAGCCTTCAACAAGGCCCCTTTCAAGTGCGAGAACGAAGGATGGGGTGAATTCGACATGACGATCGATTGTTACATCACGGAGAAGTCCAAGCAGTCCATCCAGCACGACCTGAACTTCGCCAAGAACCGCTACGAGGCCGTACACACCGTCTCCTTCAAGAACCCATCTCAGGCGCTTCAGCAGATCCTGCGCGAGACGGGTCCTCTCCCGTCGGACGACGATCGCCTGAAGAAGAAGGGCGGTGCTGGCAAGAAGGGCAGCCAGAAGTACGACTACGAGAAGATCGCACAGGCTCTCGAGAAGCTTGAGGAGGACGACTTGCTCCGCGTCATCCAGATTATTAACGACAACAAGACCGCGGACACATACATCAAGAGCGATGTTGATGGTGAGCTTATGCCTGCTTCCCCTACTACGAATCTCATGGCTGGTCAGTTTTCCTTGCGTTGGAGATTGGGCGTGCCGCGGATTCGGCTTTTTCTACATAGTGTGACGCGAGACCCGTGGACTGACGTTGATTCTAGCGGGCGAGTTTTCGATTGACTTGTACACCATGTCGGACTCGATGACCAAGCAGCTTTGGGATTACCTGGTACGTCGCTCACTCGTCCGCATACCTTAGACGGGATTCAGGCTTTTGTTGGAATGATTCCTCGAGTGTATGGATGGTCTTGGTGGCATGCGACACCGCGCTTGCGGCAAGTGATTGGACAAGGAGGAAGAAAAAATTGTGATGGGTAAAGAAGAACTGGCCGCTGACCGCGACGTTGTGCCCGTAACACAGAGCAAGAAGGGCCTCGTCAGCTAGATACCCCGCTCGCCGTCACTCACCGATTTCCTACCCACGCGGGCTCAGTTCACCGATTAATCGAAGGCGTATGAGTCGATCGATTCGGGCGATGGGAAGAGATGGTGTTGATGTGGGCAATAGCCTTTTTTGTCATTTTTTCTCCTTCTCTTTCCCCTCACGCTATCCCAATGGCATTTGGCTGGGCGTTTTCGGCTTTTCAATGCTTCTGTTGGTCTGCTTCTGTTTTTCTCCGCGCCTGATCTTCTGTTTTGTTTGTGTATGCCCACCCCCTAAAAAGTATCCGCGGGTCTCGAGTTGCATGCGAAAAATGGTATTGCTCTTGTATTTGGTGGGAAAGGGAGACGAAGCTACGAACGTGAGCAACGATGGTCTATGGGCTAGATTTGTTCGTGATTTCCCCTAGTCGATGGAGGATCCAGCCTGTCCTCAGTGTAATCATATTGAGTTGCTGCGGCGTGCGTCTCGTAACTATTCGTTGGCCCTTGATTCCGGATCTTCGTGACACACTGAGCCAAGTCATTCCCAGTATAGAGCCATTGCCACGTGTGATGTCGCCTGAGCGCTACGATCCGACTTGCTGCTTGGGCACTTTGCGCGAAACTGTTTGGCGGCTCCTCAGCATTGACGCTGCGGGCTTCGCGCCAAATGTGGCTTCAAAGATAAATAGGAAGCGTCCTTGTGTTCAATACATACGGCAACGCGATAATTCGGGTGGCAGTCGGAATCTTTGCGTGATGGCCAGCCCGAAGCTTCGTATGACGGGACGGTGTTGAGGGAACAGTTGCTCGTCTGGCAGACCACTTTGCGTACTCCCCTCATCTCTGTTAGGCGTCTCTGCTCGTTCCGGTGTATTCTTTCCTCTTTCATATCGTCAGAGGACGGCGTGCGTCTCGACCAAGAAATAGTAAGTTGACATGGCCAGTGAGGTCGAGGCATAGGCACGTATGGTCCTAAAGCATTCCCGCATGCACATGACCACTGGAGATCACTCGATGTAATCTTGTCTGACCGAGACCCAATTACTCTCAGTACCCGACGTACTTATATATCTTTCTGACCATGAAAGATCTTGGTTGCGTGGATGGCTTGGCATTTGGCGCAATGGCAATTTGAGTGCTCTGTGAAGCAGGAGCCACAGCGTCACCCAATTCGTGGTCCCGGCAGGACGACCTGGGCTGTCCATCAGGCACTCAAAGCTCAAAGCTACAATATAAAAAGTTTAGCAGCTGCGCTTCTCAGAAACTCCAGGAATAACGCCACTCCAAGCGTCCGGAACGGTGCCCCTCCCGACAAATGTCGCGAGCCTGGCTGCTCTGGTGTTCTGAAGCATTAGAGAAACACGGTCCCCGACACCAGTATCTTTAAAGAAGTTGACGCTTCTTACTCCAGAAGCGCCTCATTGTCATCTTGGGGTTATTGTCTACGTGTATTCGGCGCGAAAATGAACTCTGGAGTCTTCAGATTGCTAGTGGTGGAGCCGACCATATATGTTGGGAATGTTAATGAAGTTATAACGTACCGTCCCCAGACCATTGATGAGTTCTGAGATAACGAGAAATACGATTGATATAGGATTTTCGGTCTTGACATAGTCGATGAACTGGTAGACTCAGCGCTCTGTACACCCTTCCCGCAGCTGCATATAAGTCAGACGTACTTCGAGGGCCCTGCCTTCACCAGGCGGGTTTAAATTGAGAGTTCAGGAGAGATCAAGGTTGGCGGACACGAGGACAAGATGGTTCTGCATGTAGACAGGGGAGCGAAGGATCTTTGCAAAGTCGGCCTACCAGTGACGGTCTCCTCCATGTAACATAACTCGAAATTCGCGCTGTCGTGGGTCTTTGCACTCTAGAACCCTCATCAACCTTGGTCATTTCCAGACGCTTATTCAACCCAAGATCTCTTGGGTATTTTATAAGACATTTGAATAGAGCTCTGAAAACGAACGAACCGCCTGGTTTGACAGCGGTGGCAACGTACATAACTATACGAGCGCCTCTCCTCTTGATGGGCGAGAACCTAGAAATGGATGGCCAGGCTCCTCGCGTCCCCAGTTCTTTCCTGTTGTGTGCTTGGGATGTTATGCTCGAGACCTTTGGTGAAGTATTTATAACTCCAAGGCAGCAACATAGTCCGTGTTACCTTCGACCACATGCTTGTTTTCGGACCCCGACCATCACCCCCATGATATCTGGTATAACTTGGAATTAGACTCCCCACCTAGAAACTCTGTCCAACAATTAAAAAGGAGCTCCGGGGCTGTGATGAGCTGCAATCTCTCTTGCCCATGTTTGAGACTGGTGGAACGTAGTCGTTGTATTGGGGCACCAGACAAAGTCGAACCTTCCACTGGTCTTCGACGTCCACCATTCTTCTAGCCCTTCCTGCAAGTATTTGGTTTATTTTCTTCGTCATTCATCATGTTAATGTAAATCATGACTCAAAACTACCGAAAAGATCAATATGCTTCCTTGGTAGTTTTGTAGCGCTCCCTGATGGTACCGTCTGTCTGCGAAAACGACAGACTGAAGTTGCGCACATAAACCATTTGGCAGTCGAATGAGGTCGCATTTCTTCAAGGTGATATTTAAAGTGCTCAAGATCTGTCAATTTCAGGGTTAGCAACCGATTTTGTCACTGTGTCCCCCAGGTATAAGAACATTTCCCCTCGGCTAGAAGAGAGGCATCAGAAACAATAATTTGTTGTTGTTCGATTCGTCGCGCGAAATTGCTAAACAATATCTTTTTCGCACTCGGAGCTCAGCTTGAGATAGTTGGAAGAACAAGTTCGTGCGATCTCGCGACAGGACGCTGTCGACCGTGATCGTCGTTCTCGCCTGTGTATACTAGTGCTGCACACTTGTAAGCGCTGCATGATCTACAGTCTCAACCCACGAACATAGACCCTGCTGGGAGTCTTTTCGGAAGTGTCTAGTCTGTCTACAACAAACTGGCAGTTATCATTGGGCTGTTGCCACCAGCATGGGCATCTTCAGAAGCAATTGTATTCAAACTGTATGGTTTGCGGTAGATTGCAGAATCCTTCAAATAGTCTTCTCGCATCTTATCTGCTGAGTTCGTACTATAGGGTTAGGTTTGGGACGACGCCGCAACTCAAAACAATATGGACAACATGTCTGAATTCCTGCTTCCGTCTCGGCCCTCTGTTGTCTTCCAAGTATTTGCTCCAAGAAATGAGTTTCAGCTTGATGAAACTTGGTCTAATATGATTATGCGCGCGTATGGGCAGTTTCCGACATCACGAATGTCTCTTGTCATACTCTGTCTCTGGCGCGGGGAGAAGAACGTCCCGTCAGGAAGCATCCATTGAAGAAAAAGTCCTGTCTGATCGTCAGTGCCGACGCAGTTTTTATACCTGCGAAGTGCAGCATCGATTGCGACATGGCCTAAGAATTGCAATCTCAGTGCATAGAAAGTGGGTAAACCACCAAGACAAGAAACGCCCATTGCTCACACATCAACGCCTCCCAGACAAACGGAACCCTCAGCACAATGAATGAAACGCTGTCCTCCAGAGGTCTCAAACCCTCAGAGAACCCCTCAACCGCGTCCATTTGTCTAGCAGACCAACGACGCCCGCAATCGTCCTGGAAGCCGTCTCAAGATGCACTTGTCGTCGCCGTCTCCCACCTCATTTGTTTCGTGCTCATTAGCCAGAATTATTCAGCAGCTAGGTTGCGGCCAAGTTTCGACTGCGGTCGACTGCTAGCGACGCCAACTTGAACAGTGTCTGTAGCATCATATGTGGTCCAACTACCTCCAGGAATTAAGCAGGAGACAAACTCGTTCCATTACGTCGGCCCAATCTAGGAAATTGAACTCTCTTTGAATGTTCGTGACTAGGGGACAATGTACGAACACTAGCCCTTAATCGTTGTACCCCGATTATCTGTGAGGAACTACAAGGGTCGGAAGTGAAGAGTATAAATGCAATCACTACCTTCAAGAAAACAGGACAAGCAGCAATGGTAGTCTTTCTTCAGGATGAAGGACTCATCCCAACTCAGCCGGTCGTCAACAATGAAAGTCCGAGGGGGCAACAGCGTCGACTGCTTGGGAACCATCTCAATCGCCGCTCCGCAGTATCTCCGTCGCATGCATATCAGTCGAGTATTGATCTTGATCCACTAAGTTTATATCCTAAGAGATAGTAATGTCATGTTTTCAATCCGACGCAGATCCTGTCTTCTTTGCTATTGGCGTCAAGCTTCCACAAGAGCCAGGCCCGGAGAGAATTGCTGTTTTGGTCTTCGACATCGCCTCCTGCTGTTTTACCAAGGTTCCCTAAAGGATGCAAGTGCACAATGTCTATTCAAGACGGCTTTATGTCCTGTCCCGACAAGAGAAAATTCTGCAAAAATAAACTTGATTGCACCTAGGTGTCGTTCTTAGAGCCAGGAGAATGCCCTCAGGCTGGGAAATCTTCACTCCAGTCCATTTGCTTCGAGTTGTGTGCCTCATCAAGATCTTGAGTCCGACCATGAACCCCCAAATGCCCGCCGTCATTTCTGTTTTCCTCTTCAGTCTGCGAGGTATTCATCCGGGCGTATTCAACATGTGTTTCGCTTCAGACTGCCCAGGCATAAATCTAAGGCATCTCGGGTGAAAGGGCAGGTAGGTCATGGGAGTTGGCTACCATTGTTTGCTGCTCCTAGACCGCAGAGCCCAATGGGCATGGGAAGACCCCGGTATTGTTTGGTGAACAAGACGGAACTGAGCGTGTACTGGCTTGCATTTATGATAATGACAGACATTCAACAACATGCTTTTACATGCCTGATGAACCAACCTTCCCTTCCGCCGCCACTGATGACGTCCAAGTCCAGTATCAGCTTGACCATTATGGCCATGATGTGTCCAGCTTCCGCGTCATCACTGAAAGCAATATCTCGCTACCCACAAGCAAACGTGCTAGCTCCAAATCACATTACATGGCATCACATCAAGAACGAAAATCAAGTCAGATATCAGCATCT